TTACAATCATTATTGTCTCAGCGCTGGTAACTATTTTCACACTTCTAATTTGTCTCTGCAGGAAAAATTTCCTGGTTTAATTATTGAGCCTTTTGAAAAGAAAAAACCGCGAACCGGAAGTTACGATGGAGCTCGCTGAACTCCCGCCCACGACAAAAACACCTCTTCCACGACCCACACGCAATTTCCACATGTTTAACTTCCGCCCTAGCTCTGGACAGTAAAAAGAAAAAAATGCTTCGCTTTGCCGCTCTGCAATACAGCCACGTAATGTAAGAAAATGTATATATTCGAAGAAAATGGAATCAGCTAAGAAAAAAGATCAGTAAGAACAGGTGGTTCTTCACTTTCTTCGTCTGACGACTCAGAATTGGATCCTTCTATTGTTTTGCGTAAGATTGTATAATCCTCTTTAGTTACAGTTCCAGTATTTCGCCCTTCGAAAAAGAGCTCGGAGCTACATCACTTCCTCGATGGGGCTTCATCTTGTACAAAGAGCTAACTTGTCGAAGGTAAACTCCCACATCATGTCGAAACAACTCTTCGCTAACTGGAATCTTGCTTATCTTCTTCCGAGAAAGAGAATAGATCATCTCGCCTGGCTGGAATGACTTTTTCATAAAGTCACTCAATTTCAACAGAGGAAAATCAATCAATTTCCTCTTCAACCGTCTCCAACGTTAGTTCTTCGACTTTTCATTGCCTGGCCCTCCAAAAACGCGTCTTCGAAATGGGGAAAGCCCAGTTAACGAAAACTTCTGCTCAGCGCGAATTTGATGTTGCAACTTGTCAGAGTCTGGATCATTTTTGAACCAACATTGGTTTAATTTTTTGAAAATGTCTAAGCGCTCGGCATGAAAAGTGAATTTGTATGATCCATTTAGTACATCGGGAACAATCGTGTGAACAACCACAAAGATTTCCTGGACCAGATCCCCAGCGACAATTGTAGGAGCAGTTACAGCCATGATACGCCAAATTGGGCTCTGATCTCGATTCCTGATCAGATCGCGATGCCAATTCAGACGTGAGATGAAACGAACATGTTCAGAACTCAACTTGGTGCCAGGGAAAGGATCCTAAAAAATCTTCACTCCATTTTACGTGCACTCTAACTTCTTCACTTTACCCATAAACTTTGCTTTGCGATAAAAATCAAAAATACAAAAAAAAATGTTTTAATTCACCCAAGAAAAATCAAAAACAAAAAAAATCGTAGATAGATCTTAATATTTACTCGTACGTTAAATAAATCTGAATTTCCCTTGACTTACTAAAAACACAGAACATGCACTAACAAGATTTTATTCAAAGTAAGATTCTGTCGAATATACACATTTCCCGTGTATATTAACCAATAAAGAGACATAAATCATAAAATCACTACTCAGCTTACCGTTTCTATTACTGTTCGCCCGTATTTCCCCTTCTTCTTTTCCACGCTTTTTAATTTACTTTATCGCGCGCTAAATTAAAAATTTGCTGACTGAGCAAATGACAATTAGGCTCCTCTTTTAAAACAGGGGAGGGATGTAAGGAGTTGTGAATACCCTAATTGACGTCAATATCCATTGGCGTGCTCGGTTCCCCCAACTACACTGCGGGAAGCCACTCGAGCCGCAGCTCGCGCAGTTTCAACTTACTGTACTCAGTCGTCAATTCCCCCGTTTCCGGAATAAACTCAATTACGGCAAACCAGCGTTGTAAAGTGTATCTGCATTACAGAGAAGGTGCGTGGTCTTGGAAGACACGGAAGACACGACCCCCTCATCCAGCTTTTCGCGGATTTATTAATTTTTTCTAACAAAATTCTCGATTTTGTGTCTTGAATTCGAGATTTTACGAAATTTAAAAGTTGGTTATATCACCCAATAATAATCCTTATCAAATTTTTATGTGCTAGATATTGTTTTTTGATGATTTTTTAATCATTATCAGTAAATAATTCTCAGTCTCCGCGACTTTGGTAAAATTCCCTATGAAAAATGAGCAAAAATGACGATTTTTAGGTAAATCGGATATTTTTGATCAACAGTGAAAAATTTTCACGATAAGCATCCCGTTTTTCATTGTCGCCGCCGTATTTTTAAGGGTTTAATTTTACTTTTAAAAGAATTGGGTAAGGCCCATTTGGTGTAATTTCCCATTTGGTGTAAATTCCATCTGGTGTAAATATCCAATTGGTGAGAATATCAAACTTACACCAAATGGATTTTCACACCAATTGAATATTCACACCAAATGCACCGAAATTTTTGAAAATATTTTTGATAAAAGATGATCGACCCAAGGTTCAAACATTCTTCTGGACCCCCTCAGCACTTTTTTCTCAAAAATTTTTCTTCGAAAATTATAAGTTACTAAAAATTTAAGGCAAGCCCCTTAAATTCAAAAATCAGAAAATGGGGCTGATACAGCCCGAAAAGCCGGCAAGCTCCTTAAATTAAAAAATAAGAATATGGGGCTGAAACGGCCCGAAGGCCCGGCAAGCTCCATGATTTAAAAATAAGAAAATGGGGCTGAAACGGCCCGAAGGGCCGGCAAGCCCCTTAAATTCATAAATCAGAAAATTGGGCTGAGACGGCCCGAAGGGCCGGCAAGCTCCTTAACGGTAATGGTATACATCGGCGCGGCGCCGCTCGCTCGATCCGCGCTCCGCAAGAACCTTTTTCTCACGAGGCCGTAAAATCTGAACGGATCGAGATTTGTCAAAGATTAAAACAGATTCGGAATCCTCAAAGTCTTTTCTATAAACTGATCGAAAATTAAAACAATTTTCAAAGAGGAACACTGTGAAAAGTGCCAGTTTCCTTCAAATGACATTTTCTCCATAAATTATGGACCATAATTTCTCATCCAAATTTTATGAAAATTGGACTGTCTTGTAGAGAATCGTCAGCTCTACAATTCCTGTGTTTCAGATTTTTCATTTGGGCTTTCAAAAATAATGTGCGCTCTTTTGAAAAGAGAGTTATTCTCGCCCGCGAACCATTCTTTATGAAGAATGGTTCTTTGCAAAAGCGACTGAAGGGTGAAGGAAACCGGAGCCCTTCAGTAACTCAGGGAGGGTGAAAAAGTCATATAAATCCGCTCTAGCGCAGGGGAACCGATATTCGCCGCTCACCGCTCAAGATTGTGCGTGCGAACGCACCAATCGGGCGGGGGCTGGCTTGTTATGAAAATCGGTCCTCGCGCGAGCAGGATTTTTAGCGACTGAGGTGTTTTTCAAATTCCTGTCGCACGACGCAGGATCCTCAGGGCGTTCTAGAGAAGCCGTGCGTATTTTGAACTTCACGCTCCCACGAGCGGGCCTGCAGGTCCTGAGTCTTTCCGACCAGGAATTTTCATGATAAAGGATAGGTCTCATAGTAATGAACGTGAAACCAATCAATGCAAATATCCATAAACGTTACCTTACCATTACCATAGATCGGTGATTAATGCACTCTTTATCTTGATTCCTTAATATGGACGTTTTCATGCCTCTAAACCACTGCAACATGAATTCTCTTTATCTCTTGCATCCATACCCAAGAAACAGATGTTAGTTTTCCTGTGCAATTTTATTAAAATAAAGAACCTAACAGTCGAAAGTTTGGGCAAAAGGTTATTGTACCCATCTAACTCTCGCGAGTTAGATGGGTCTGGTTTTCAATCTTCGCAACTGCACCTTCGGACGATCGCTCGATAAGGCTCGTGTTCTCGAGTTTTCCTTAGGTGAACATTACCAATTTTGCACGCAAAACGAGCTTCTTACCATTGAATAAATTCATCGAAGCCAGGATTTCGGCGTAGCAGGATATGCTGTCGAAGTCGGATGAGGATGCCCACTTTGAGCTCGCGCTCGCGGAGGCCTCTCCATCTTCATCTTTGTTTCCTTTTTACCAAAACAGTTTCCCATACTAAAATGAAACGTTCTAATAACTCCGCGATTTATTTTATTCCGAATCGAGGTCTAAAGAGATTGAGGAAGGTTGCACTGAAAGTACGGGATTTTAAAGAGGTCAAAACCCGTTGCTCGGAGGAGGAAGTCCCGGTCGTCTTTCGCCGTCTGAGCCATGCGGCACTCGAAATCCTCCTCAGCTAATTCAGCAAGAAGGGCGACCTTCGAGCTGAATGTAGCTGCTCGAAAGACCTGCAGGCGGCCGTTAATTCCTATCAACAAAGCTTCTCTAAGGATCTTGACGCAGAACTCGGTCTGTACCACCGAGAGGTGACTTTCGGATGAAATCGTCATTTCTATCTTAACGATATAGATTAAAACCCTTCCGATACTATTTTATCCTGATAACTCGAAACTCCTACAGTAAGTCATGATTCGACAGTAATCAAGTTCCACAGGCGGATCCGTCTAGATACCATGACTCTCCGCCTCGCGGCAGGGAATGTCATTGATCTCAAAGCCGATTTTCTCGAAGACGAAGAGGCAATCTTCAAAGGGTACCCGTTTATTGCGCTTTCGAAACAAGAGCGTGGAAGATAGGTAGGCCAGAGCGAAAAGCTTCTTCCTCGGGGTCATCTCTTCCGCGCCCCAAAGCGTGTAGTCATCGTTCTCCATCTCCGCGCTCTTCAAAATCGCAAAGACTCTTTCGAGCTCATCGGGGAAAGTCTACGCGTAGTACCGGGAATCGTGAACATTACTAAACAGTTATGCAATCAATTCCTTATAAATAACAGCTTGATAGCAAGAAGAGACACTTATAACACATAATCGGAGTTTTGTGATATTTTTCTTTTCTTATTCTCCTTGAATTCTCGCCATGACCTCGCTCCTTTGAATTTATCCGTCATCGAGGGGGCATTCGGCGTGGAAGAGGACTCGCGAGAGTCCCCTCTCTCGTTGAAGCACTTACATGTAAAACCTTCGGTCTGCGTACCCTTTGATGCCACCTTTGGTTCTAGCTTCAAGGTGGTTTGAACCAATTTCTTTCCGGCTCCCTGTTTTTCTGGTTCAACAATGACGACATCGGCATCAAACGACGGGTTTTTGTCTCTCTTGATCAGAGCGTTCGCGAGGTTTGGAGGACGAGGGTCGCCCCTTCGTCTTCCTGGCGCTTTCTCTCAACCATTGCCGCGATGCGATAGTGAGCTCCATACTCTGAGTCCAACAAGAAATAGCTTCTGTAGACCTCGAGCATTTCTGCCGACTTCCACCGACATACCGAAATTATGAGACTATCGTCGACTCCGGCTTCACAAGCAGCGATTACGTAGCTGCAACGCATACTGTGCCCGCTCGGAGCGTTTTCCCAATTCAGCAACGCCGCTGTCTTTCTATAATAATAGTTGATCGTAGCTGTGACCAGACCTCTCTTAAGTTCTGGGGCAGCAAACAGCTTCCCTGACTCCCTTCCGTCGATCAGTTTTTCAATCCATTGTTTGATGTTGATGGGAAAATCGGGCAGAATTGGAAGTGAGAGGCTTTCTCGTTTCCTTTTGCTGGCGTTGGTCTTGCTGGTTCGTAGAGGCATTATAATATATAACGCCTCCTTTTTCTGCTTGAAGATTAGATCTTCAATTCTCAGCGAAAGGATTTCAGCAGTCCTTCCGGCTGTGTGGAAAGCAATTACGCTCACTATGGCGACCATCTTTTCGATATTAGTCCCGTTATAGAGTCGCCTCCAAAACGGGAGTAACTCGTTTCTACGGAAGATGTTTGCTTGGTGAGGCTCATACAAAGACTCGGAGCTTTGAGCTCTCATCTTGCGGTTAATCCACGTTTTAAGGGTTTGTCTCGCCGGGTGAAGCAAAGGTGTTCCTTCTCTGTCCATCACCGCATTCTGGATGAAACTTCGCAGTTTCTCCCAGCCTTGCGGGATGGAGGGGTTCTTAAGTTTGAGTGAGTCGAGGAACTTTTCCATTACTTCGGCTGTGACTACCGACTTCGATTGCCTACGGAATTTTTCCATGTAGAAGATGCCCAGGACTTGCACGCTTCTGGCTTTAAGTCGTAACGCGCGACTATTGCACCCGATTCACTTGTTTCATTAAATTTCCGATGTCCCATCTATTAAAGAGTAAATTTTAAAGGAAGTTTTATAGTCCTAACTTTTAATTTCGAAATAGATCCTAAGCACTAAAATAAATAAGAGGTAGATAAATGAAAGATTAACAGAAACAGCGAACAGATGAATAGCACTATAGCACTCCCCTAAGGGGTCGAAGAGCGAGCAAAGAAGGAGAGGTCTGCGAAGACCCTCCTTCTTTAATCCGTTCTTTAAGATTTCGGCTGGATGTTCTGGCGTCCGGTTCCGCCTCCTCGGCCACGGCCGCCTCGACCACCCCTCGGCCCCGGAAGTTGTCTTGTGAGTAACCTTGGTTATGAGGGTGGCCATAGCCGCTGTTGTAGCCCTCCGAATATTGGGCATTGTACTGGTTGTCGTACGAATGCCATTTATTCTGGCCGTGGTTTCCGCCACCAGAGTTGCCGTGGAAGCGTTAAACCATAAGATCAAAAAACTACTTAGTTTTAAACATTTTTTATATTTTGTAGCGAATGATTCATAGTTCTAAGGTAATCTACTTCATTTACGTCCAAATCCTAATCTAAATATAAACACATAAATCAATCACCTCCTCTGCCTCCGCGACCTCTCGGCTTGTTCTTTTGGCCACCACGGCGAGTTTGCTTGTTCTCAGCCTTCGCCTTGTCCCGACTTTCCTTCTCAGCCAAAGCATGCGCCCGCTTCAAGTCGTCGGCGTACTCGATCTTTTCCTCCGCGGTCATTGTGGCGTGATCCCGCTTGAGTTTCCTCAAATACTGGGTATCCGCCTGAGAATCGAGCTGGTTCTGCATGAATCGTTGTTGTCGATTCTTGTCAGGGTCCATGGACGAGTGCAAGATCTTGTTATCTGCATCATTGTAGGCCATTCTGGTGATGCAGTCGCACAAGTCAGACATGGTCGCCTGAGTGCAAGCTTTGCGACAACTGAGAAGGAAATCGAAACGAGACATTGTCTTGTTTTCCAGCAAATTCTGGAGGCAGAGGTTAAGGTTCGGGAAGCTGTGGTGGTCGTGGCCAATAGCTTGAGTATAGCGTGATAAGATATCTTTAGCTTTCGCGAAAGTGAGGGAAGCGATTCCCTCCCTTGTCGCTACTGCTTTACGCCACTCAATCCCAACCTTGCGGGCATCTTCAGCCTTGGGCTGTTCAAGATCGTCCGAGCCCAGGCAAATCTTGTAAAACGCGCCGTCATCCGTTTTGTAGGCGAAGTCGGTTCGTCGTTCCTCGACGACGTATTTCTTCAAAGCGGCGACGCTTTTAGAAATAACCTCGTCGAGGGCGAGCTGTTCCGCTCTTATTTTGTTGGCCTTCATCAGGGCGTTGTCCAAGGACTCCTGAACCGTTTTAGCGTCCATGGCCCAGGCTTCTTTATCTCCTTCATGGAGATCCAGGCCTCGTTCTACGCGACCCTTGCAGTATTCTCTCGCATCGACAATGTCCTGCCATTTGAGTGTCTCTTCGGCGGCTTGTTTCGCGAGGCCGAGAAGCCGAGCTCGGCGGTTCTTATCCGCTGCAATGGCCTCATATTTCAAGGCGAACACATCGTCCTTAAGGCGCTCCTCCATGATGAAGTCATAGTCGCGCTTGTTGATCTTGACGGTGCCAGCTGTCATTTCCATTCTTCTAAACGCAGCGAGTCTTTGCTGGTTAGAAGCGGAGTTTGGGTTTTGAAACCCTCCATGTTTAGAAAGGCCAAATCGTTCATGATTTCAGTCTGAAGAAATGAAATAAATTTCCCAATCTCAACTTGAGACTACAAAATATGCTTCAAGATACAAAAATAGAACATCAAGGGAAAGGGGCCTTCGCAGGCCTCTACTCCCCTTTGTGTACAATCAAAGACAAATGTGCTTTATCTGGGTGTTTCCAGTAGCCGAGATCGTGGTCTAACTCATCTGTCGGAAAAAGGATTGGCATCTCTTTCCACTCAACCCATTGAAGATTGTCGAGATGGAACACTTCACTTCTCAAAGGGGACAAAATTTCATATTCAATGACGGCCAGCACCCACGTTGCCTTCTTTGCTCGTTCCAACAACAATTGAAACGTAGGAATCAACACCGGTTGAGGCGGGAAGAGCCAGGCCGTTTCGTTCTCCAAAGACTTGATTGTCAGAAAATTCGTATGAATCGAGCCCTGCTCGTCGTGTAGTGACATGAATCTTTCTGTTTTTCTGTTGTGAACTGTTGCGAAACAGTCCACAGTGAATTTCAAACCCAAAGATTCCTCAATCCTCCTGAACCCATCGTGCGAGACAATCGCTTGTCTCGCATCAACGGTTCTAGAGGGTTCATCGGCTTCTTGTTCTAGCGTAGAAACCCATGTTACGTCCAAGCTGATGTTGTTATCGTGGGCCGCTTCATTGATTCTTTTGATGATCCTTGTCAAAGGCAGATTTGAGCTTCCGAACTTGAAGGTTTCAGTGACAGCTCTGTTGTCACAATAGAAAATAACCCTTCTATTCTGTAAACGGTGACCGTATTTTTCCAATGCTGCTAAGATTCCCACGCCTCCTTCAAGTGGATCGCCGACCGAGCTATGGCATCTCCTTCGGACCAAGTAATGGTTTCGTTTATGCCGAGATCGTTTATTACGATACCTCCAGCGAAGCTGGAGGCGTCGGTTGAAATCACTGTTTTCGCCGCCACGACGCCCGGCTCAAGCCACGATCTAGTTTTCGTGATGTATTTGGATTTAAGCCAAACGAGGAGTTCCTCGCGGAGCTCCTCGGTGACTCTGACTTCCTCATCTCTCGCGTTTTTGATGGCATCCGTACAAACTCTGATGTAGAGTCGCATATTCGATATGACGAGGCACATCGAGGCCATTTTTCCCCTCAAGCGTTCGAGAACTTTCACGTGGACACGTTTTTCTTTCTTACTGCAGCGGCTTCCTGTTTGAAGCGTTCCCATTTCGCTCTCGGGATGGCGATTGTGCAATCGATCGTATTTATCGTGAAGCCGAGGAACTCCAAGACCTGCAAAGGTCTCGGAGTACTCTTCTTCCGGTTGATGAACGTGCCGAGTAAGGTAAAGAGGAGAAGGGCTGCGACAAGTTCCCTTGGAGTTTTGGATCCATTAAGGAAGTTTCGGGCTTGAGCTGGAGAAGAGGGGCGCACGATTAACAGCCTATCGTCCAAGTACAAAAAGCACCTGATTCCTTGTTTTCTTAAGTAATTAACTGGGGTGCCATTGCATAGTTGATAATGGCCAGGGATGGCCGGAAGGCCGAAAGCCGCGCCTCTGTAGCGAAAGAGGTTTCCGCCTAGCTGGCAAAAAGCGAGGTTGCGGGAGAAAGGGTCGAGTGTGAGGTGGTGGAAGCCACTTTTATCGTCCCACTTTGAAAGAAGGTCGCCCTTCTTCAAAATTTTTAGGACTTGGCCGGCTGAATCAAGGTGACACGGTTGCGTGTATCTTTCGAGGACCTTGAGCGGGCCACCATTATAGCATGTCCGCCACTGCTCTTCTCCTTGCTTCGGCACCACTACCCAATTCGCCATCATGAGGATCGAATGTTTTGCTTCCGGCGGTCTGTATTCGAGCGCTGCCGACTCCATCCACTTTTTAATTTGATTCGCGATGACTCCGATGTGTTTATTTGTGCCCTTCGAGTTTTTTATCACCAAAGGCTTACCAAAATTATCACCGTCTGCGAAGACGGGATAATGGATTTGCCTTGTATAATGGAACTTTCCGACTCGGTAACGATCTTCGCCTTTCATCCTTGATTTCATCTTAAGCTCGTTGTCTGGGTTAGTCTTGTAGTACGAAGCCACCTTGAAGTTTTTATACCTCTTCGCCTTTTTAACTGGCACGTGCATGAGGTTTTGAAACAATGAAATTCCTTGATGAATATCATGGTACGCCTCCGGGCGGAGTTTCTCTGGCAGATAATTAATAAAGATCAGCCACAAATCCACATTGTCCGCAAAGGTTCCACATTTGAAGTCTTTTTCTGAGCGAAATCGTACCAAGTTCCAGTCGGGCTCGACGTCGCCGTCGATGACCCTTTGGAACGTCTGTAAAGCTTCAACTGAATACTGTTTCCATTGCGCGTCCGACCAGTAAGGCGCCGACTTATCATCTTCCTCTTGATAAAGTGTGAGGGAGCGCACTTCTTGTCGTTTATCTGGGAGGCCTTCGCCGTTCTTTAGGCCTCCGAGCCACGCTTTTGCCTTTTCGTTATCCAGCCTAAACACATGGAGCTGAGGAGAACGTTATTCCTAACAGGTTTAAATTATGAGAGGCAGACCCTAACGCGCAAAGAAACAGCTGTGAATTCAAGTGGCCCAGGTTAGGCGGGTCCTGCGAAGGACCCGCGTAACTAGAACTTAAAACATCATGTCTCCAAATGTGGCGAGAGAAACCTCGGCCTCCATTTGGGCCTTTCGGTTCATCTCTCTTCGTCTTTTGACGTGTTGCATGTAACCTCCCTCAAAGCCATCGTCGTCCGTCGGTGTTGTAATGACGGGCCGATGTTGGACAACTTGTCTTGGTGGTTCGGGCTTTGGTTGAGGACTAAAGAGTATTTATAGGGGTTACTACTACAATAACAATAATGGTTCGTATGCTAAGATTTTATCAAATGAAGAGCCTTCAACAGAAAACTCAGACGGCTCCCGCAACCTGCTAAGTTATGGTTTTCAGTTTTTACCTTTTGCTCTCGGCCCAGTTATCCAGGCCCTTCTCGATCGCCTGGTCGATCTTCGCAAAACCGAGCGCGACGTAAGTCCGCGAGTTCATTTCATCGGCGTCGGGAAAAAGACCCTCACCAGCTCCATCGCCTTTTGCTTTGTGATTGCGTTTTGGCGGTCTTCTGCTTTTGAGGAACTCGTCGAGCCTCAAACTCCCTGTGACTTCTCTCCGAAGAGGACCGCGAGGTCCTTTCGGATACCAGTCACAAGGTTCGTCAAGCGGGATGGCGAGAGCGACTCGGGATCTAGCAGCCACATGCGTAGATCCTTCATCACCGTGACGTAAGTTGCCGTGGCGATGGCAGCTAAACCGTCCTTCAGCGAGAGGGCCAGGGCTGACTTGATGGGGTTTTCTCCCTTGATCTCAAAAAGAATTTGAGAAAGCCACTTGAACTCGGCGACTAATTTCTCGTCGTCGCCCTTAGCATCGATTAATAGAACGGCCAACTCCGCCTCGTTGTAGATGGCCTGTTTGGGCTTAAGGTTGACGTTGCACATTCGATAGAGGGCCGCCATCTCTTTATTAATCGTAATGGCCAAGTTCTCGCTAAACAAAGCTTGAACTTTCAGCGCCTGACCAAAGGTGATGTTGCCATCTCTTCGGAAACGATCCGTTTCGGACTCAATTTCTCGAAGGAAAACGACGAATTCATCTGGGCAAATTCTTTCGCCAATCGTGCAAGCAACCCTGCTTTTACGTTGGAGGCTAGGGATTTGTTTTTCCAGCTTTTCAAGTCTTTCGTTGACAGCTGTGTCAATCGTCGCCGGTTGAACCTCGCGGTTCAACTCGGCTTGATCTCTACTTGCTCGGCTTCGATATTATCGAGCCTAGCCACAACTTCTTGAAAAGCTTCCGATTCCAAGACTGCTACAGTAACGTCCTTCACTTTCGTGGTCTTTGGCTTGGCCGGGGCCTTCGTTTTCACCTCCAAGGCTTGGACCTTCGGCTTCACCTCCGTCGCCGGAGTAGTTGCCGAAGTGGAAGCCGCTAGAACTTCTTCAATCGATGGAATTTCTTTCAAATCGGTTTTCTTTGGAGGCATTCTAAATTCAGCAATTTGTAACCTTTTAAATTTAAGAAGTTATATTTTCCAGTCACATAATGAATACTTTTTATCTTTGAATTTGAACTTAAGCAACAAGGCTCTTTTCACCCTTCGACCCTCGACAACTCAACACCGGCCGGCCCAACAGCAAAAGGCTCCGGAAATAGAGTTTCTAGTACTTGAAGGTTCGTGCCCAGTAAACTGGGGCCTCTCGCGAAGCGACTTATCGAACAGTCGAGTATAGAAACTCCTATTTGACCGGCCACAATCGACCTGAGGAGGGCAGAAGGGTGAAAATTTTTAAAGAAACAAATCACAAATAGACAAAGGAATGACTTTAACAACACAGTGAAATTTCAAATAGTAGAGAAGTCACAATGACTAAATTTTGAACTAAAAATTTTGAACTAAAAAACTGACAGAGGTAGTACATGATCTTGGTTTAGGGTAGGCATTTTCTTATTTTCCATTATTCTCCGTGATCTTCATCATCGGATTGCCGTGGATAAAAATCTTTGGCGAAGCAATGAAAGACTGTTGGCAAGCCTAGCTCTTCTCGTTTTCTTGTTTCTTTGAAGAGCTGGTTCCTGACCGCCGAGCCGTTTATATTTCCAAACCTTTGCTCAATGTCCGCTAGAAACTGCGAAGTTTCAGCGGGCATTTCAATGAGCAAGTCGAACAGGATAGTTCCTTGCTCGTCGGCCTTTGTCGGCATGAAAGTTTTACCGGAGATAATTTGTGCAGCTTTTGTAATAGCCGCCTTTTGGCTTATTGACAGCGCAGAGGTGTTTATATCGCATCTGTCAACCAGGTCCGCTTCAGTTATCATGTTTCTCCGGAAGCGTTTTCGCGTTTCTCTTCTGGACCTGTTAAGCCCTTTTTTCTTTTGAGCGTCAGTTCTTTCTTTGACGACTCCTTGGCCCCCTTCGAACTCGACCCGACGGTTTTGCACCGCGAGCCTATTCGAGGACTCGTTTTGGATTTTTGATCCTGTCTCCTTTTTACCGGCGGAAGGCCGCCTGCGAAGGCTGACCTTGCCGGTGAGTCTTCGGTTTCGGAGTCGGATGTATCGGGCGAATCGACGGGGTATGACACCGTGGAATCGGAAAATTCGTCGAAGCAGGCAACCCTTTCTGACAGTCTTCGAGCCATCCAAGGCTGGCCCCTGTTGTCTTTCAAGACCAGCGAAGGCTGAGATCCAAGATTAACTCTTTCCAGCTCCGCCCAGATTTCGTGACTAGCGAAAGAGTCAACGACCTCCAACAAGGACTTGTCCAGATGTTGAAGTGACAAGTTCCTTAGAATTTCCAAATAGTGCCTCGAGTGTCTGCTCGTGATCGCTCTTGGCTGCGTTTCCGCTGAAGAAGAAGCCCCGTCCCCGAAAACAATTCGCATTCTCATCGGGAACAAGGGTCTCTCCCCATCAGAAGAGTCTGAGTCTGACGGGATTTCCGAAGGATATTTCGTATTTCCCTTCTTTTGTCGAAAGGTTTCTTCTGTTGTTTAAACGGGGGCTTTCGCTCGACGAGCTGGTGCCTTCTTGGGTTTGTTTCGAGTCCCGTTTCTGAGGGACGGGAACAACTGGTCCTTTAGCGGCTCTTCTCCTCGCTGCCCTTTCTTGACGAGTCTTGACCTCCGCTTCGAGGGCCAGTCTGTCAGGGTTAGCGTCCATGGTTCTTTCGCTGTTTAAAAACCAGATGGGGCCTCGGGGAGAGACGCTCGCGCGTCTCTTCCCTCGTCCGTTGTCCTCGTCGGCGACTGAGCTCTCGAAGAAGCCCTTGAAGTGGATGTCGATGACGCCAAGGATGGAATAGGCGTTGGGTGAAAAACGTCGTACTCAGCAATTCTTTCTCGTCCGTGCAGCAAAAACTCGTTTTTGACGTGAAAGTAAGGGTTCATTTCGGGAACAACTGGGTGTTCAGATCTCACTGGTTGGAGTTTGTGACGATCTTCGGGGTTTTTAGCGAAAGATCGAGTACAGAAGATGTCATTCCAGTACTCGAAAGACATTCGGTACTTCTCTTTGTCGGCTCTCGTCGGAAAAGTTTTAACCCAAATTTCCCACCAGGCTTTCGCAAGCTCTGGTGTGATATTTGGGTCTTTTCTTAAGTTTCGGAGGATCGACGAATCAATGTCCGAGAACCATATGAAATCGTGTTCAACCGCTCTGATCCTTGCCGCAATCTGACCCAATCTTCTTTCCAAAGAAGTAGTCAAAACCGTTATGACAAAGTACTCTTCCTTCATTGGTGCCCAGGTTGTTTTGGGTTTTGCAGCATAGCTAAAATCGAGGTTCTCGACCTCTACGAGGTGGAGTCCCTCGCGGGCCCTCCACTCGATTAGAAACGCCGCGAAATCGGCTGCTCTTTCCTCCCTGTCAGCCTCGGTACTTCTTGATCTCGCCGCGGGGTTCCAGGACGCTGGGCCCCAAAGATTTTCTGGTAAGAGGCCCTTGAAGCTCTCGTCATGGCAAGCAGCTCTGAAGATTGTGCTCCAAGCATACGTGCCAGGTCTCGGTGGAGAAGGGAACTGATCATCCTCTTTAATTTGAGGATGAAGAAACGTGGTCATTTTGTTGCCGACCCACTTCTCGTAGTAGCCCAAGACCTTATCCTTCATTTTTTGTGTTAAAATAGCCACTTTTGACGGTGGCGAAGAGGCTTCAGGAGACTTTGCCAGGTGTTTCTTAGCAAAGTCCACGTATGCTGGACTTACAAGAATGGCAATCTTCAAAGTGGGAAAGTCGCGCTCGATTTCTCGAATCAGGGTAAACTCGGGGAACTGGTATTGTTTTCCTTGCGGCGGGAGATGCATCTTGGCATTGAAACGCTTCTTGATATCCGCCAAATCGAAGTTAGGAGGACGGCACAAAGTGTTCTTCACGTATTCCTTGGAGATCCCGTTTCTAGCTGTGGTGAAATGACATCTATCATTTATGTTAACCACCGTAAACGGATCTTCTTCCCAAACTCTCGAGTAGCCTTCTGTTTTATGCAGGATGAAGAAAAGACAAGGAGTTGTCACTTGAGAGAACCTCGCGGTTCTCCAAGGCAACTCCCCGTCGAGCTTATCGTAGTTGTCGTTGATGTAACGAAGAGCGTTGAGCGTCTTGTCACTTTCAGCGACCATTCGGCCTTCCCACGTAAACTTTCCACCCGTTGCGAATTTCAAAGACAAGAGCTTCGCGTGGTAGATCGGCATAACACCTTCTCCCGTCTTTTTCCTGAAGGAGTTGACGATCTCAAGCATGAGTCGGGCGCGCAGCTTTGGAGTCGCCGTGACCCGTGGTCGAGGCGCTGGGAGTCTTTCGTTGGCCATTTCAACACCTTGTCCGTCGATGCGCGGGACTAGGGTTGTCAACGGTGAAAACGATTCGCGCATTGCTGCTTCCGAGTCCGCTCTCAAATGAAAGAAACATGCTGGTGCTACTCCGCATGATTTCTCGTTGCATCCGATAAACGCACAGGCATCCGGATCTTTTTCGAGCTTGGTGACATCCAACAGCGGGCCTGAGACTTTTTCGTTTTTCACCAATGATCGTTTAGGCTCGACATCTTTGTGCCATTTGTAATGGCTCATGTCTGGATCGTCAGGGGAGACTAAATCAGTGCCGAACCAATTCATATATCGGTCAACCATTTCGATCATTGAAACCCGCGAGGATTTAATGATGAATTGGGATAAGTTGTGGCCGATGAGGGTTTGCTTTTTCGTTTTTAATGCCTTGGGGAGAACGAAGACTTTGACCTGAGTCCTCTCTTCTATCTCAATCTCATGAGCTTGGGCTTTGACGACTTTTTCGATGAATTTGTCCCAAGCCTTGACGACCGGCACCAGATTTCCTCTCCAATTCTTCTCGATTTCTGCTTCGAGGTTCCGCAGACTTTTCAGGGTCTTTTCCTCCTCATGTCCAGATTTTGCTATTACTCTCGCGAGTTTTAGCAAATATCTGACTTGATCGGGGTTCGTGACCTTTTCCGGGAGAAGCATATACTGGATCGGCTCTGTGGCGTAAATCAGCCAGAACGAAAGGTCTCCGATGTCGTTCAGCATTTTTCGAGTGTTTGGGAGGATCTTGAGATCATCGTATCTCGGGATATAGGGAGGGTTAAACCAGTCCATTAAATTGGCACAAGCAAAGGCCGTTGAGGGTGTAGTTCCTTCGTTGAATTGCTTTGCCCACTCGTAAGCCCATTGTACACCAATCCGGATGATGTGGCTTAAACTTATCCAGAAAGCTTCGAATCCCCAGCTGAGATCGAAAGCTTCAGCAAAAACCGAAATTTCTGCTCTGACTTGCTCTGCTCCTTTGTCGAAGTCAACAGGGTCGTTCGTGCGGCTCGCGAGAGCCACAGCGAACTCATTGATGTTATCGAATCCCCCGAAGCCAACTCCGATCTTTCGCCAGAGAAGGGCCGCCGTTTCTCTGTAGAAGTCGAGTTCTACCTTTTGAGTCGGGAATTTTTCTTTAACAGTATTGGCTATATCATTTAGCTCTCGCGAGCTAATGACAGTCAATATGTTGATGGCGACTGATCCGGCTGGTTGAGAGGAAGGTTGAAAGGAGATCCATTCTTTCACTGCTTTTTCCACGGTATCTAGACTAGCAAACTCCGAAACGACTTGAGGGGCGACGGATCTTTTTCCGCTCCTTTTGATGTTAAATAAAGGGGCCGTGGCGTTCGCTACCATCATTTTTGTTGGGTCCTTCTTGGCATCTTCTCCCTGAAGGGCCAGCAGTTGTGCAATCTTGAGGTCCCAGACCTTTTCCGTTTCAGGCTTATCGGGGACGAAAAAGAGATCTCTCGCGAGATCTTCTTTTTCTCCCAGCTTTTCCGTCGAGTAAACAAGTCCATCAGAATGAGCAGGTAATGACCACAGTGGCTTCCTGTTAAGAGCGAGTGCCGGAGCTGCAAAGGACAACCAGCTAATCGCATGCGACGCCAGTTCGACTGAGCTAAAACACAACGTCATCAAGGGAATGAGAATTTGTTTGAAATGGGCCATGTTGTTTTCTATCGGAAATTCCCCCCTTTGAAGGATTATCGCGCCGGTTATGGGAACAGCGGCGGGTGGTTCGAACTCTTTCCCTTTTTCTAAAGTGTGAATCATTTTCAGGCGATATAAGCTCGCGCTTATTCGCCTGAACCTTCATTCGGGCCAACCGAAAAAGAAAAAAGTTTTCTAAATTAAGCCTCTTTTCTTTACCCCAACAATGTCTTTTTCCGACCATCGTCCCGAGACCGAGAGAGAACGTCGTGACCGAGAGACTAATGAGCTCAAGGAGTTCTTGAAACTCAGCCACTGGCTCCTAGCCGAGGTAAATCAGGTCTTAAAGCTGAAGGACTAGTTTTAAATTTATATATTCTATCAAGAAAAAATCTCAAATCAATCTTGATAGGGTCCCCGCCTCCGCCGAGGGGAGATCACCGAGGAAAGCCTTCGCCCTTTGGCTCATCAAGTCAATCATGCTATGTGGGATGCCGAGAAGACCATCAACTGCCGATACTGGCGCGATGTCTACAACACCCGTCCCAAGACCGACTCTCTACGACAGCTTCTGGATGAGGTCCTGATCATGAAAGCCCGCATCAAAAAACCCATTCGCACCGTTCTCGATAGCGCGTGCATGTAAATCTACTGTATCTTTATAATTTCGGACTAAGTTCAAATTTCCCGCTGCAATAAAGCGTGTAATCGGCCATTTATCAATCAACTTCTATGTGGGGGAAAACAGCTTTCGCAAGCTGCTATCCCCTTCTAGAACACTTGTTTTGTCATTTAGTAAAGAGGTAAAAAGACTCGGAGACTGAGCCTTCGGATCGATTCGATTGAAAAGGGCGAATTTTCTCTAGAACCGTTGTTTTGGTTAAATCTAAAGCCGTTCCGAACTGACCGATGTATCCTTCGGGAGGGAATAAGGGGTCTAAAACACCCTTTTTTCGAGCAGAAAAACCCAAAAAGAGTCATAAAGCTCACCTGATCGATGTCGAGACTAGGCAGAGCGCAATTCTTCCATCTGAGGCATCCAGACGAAGCGGTGTCCAGTTGTTTTGGGCGAATAACCACGAGGAACCGGCAAATTCGCGTTTTTGAGGGTTGAACGCCGGGCCGTCGCCGCTAAGCTGCGAAGCAAAGTCGACGACGTAAAAGGACGTCAGCGGGTTTATTTGCCATCTATTGATGCAAACCGCCCCCCATAATTCGGACTCTTCCCTGAGCCAGTCGCACGTGTCACTTCGTTCCGGTATAAGCTCTCTCATCGGAAAAATTGCATACAGTCTAAAAAACTGAAGTAAAATATCCGCAACATCTAAAATAAGATAAAGAGTGCAGGAAAAAAGTCATATAAATCCGCTCTAGCGCAGGGGAACCGATATTCGCCGCTCACCGCTCAAGATTGTGCGTGCGAACGCACCAATCGGGCGGGGGCTGGCTTGTTATGAAAATCGGTCCTCGCGCGAGCAGGATTTTTAGCGACTGAGGTGTTTTTCAAATTCCTGTCGCACGACGCAGGATCCTCAGGGCGTTCTAGAGAAGCCGTGCGTATTTTGAACTTCACGCTCCCACGAGCGGGCCTGCAGGTCCTGAGTCTTTCCGACCAGGAATTTTCATGATAAAGGATAGGTCTCAGTATTTATGAAATAAGTAAATTAGTTTAAGTAATAAATAATAAGCTATTTCTGAAAATTAGTTAATTAAAGAGAAAAAGAGCTCTTTCAATGCTGAGCTAGGCTAGCGGACAAACAGCGCCGCTACGCGGCCCCCGCGCTGTTACGTAATCGCCGCGCCACTGATTTTTGTTTTTCTCTCGAGACAGTTTTTTGCATTTTTCTCGGTTTTTTCGTCTTACGCGGTTGAATTTTTTTGCAGAAATGGATTTTTCACATGAAAATACAGTACTTTCCACTTGAAAAAATTTATTTTTGTATCCTATAGAGGAGTTACAGAAAAGTGCCTAAAATCCAGGTACCCACTTACGAAAATCCTTTTTTTGGGTCCTATATGAATCAGAATTCTCCGCTCTACAAGATACCCTTGGTTTTCCCTGGCGACGTCGCAATCGCGATTTAATTTTTTGTATGCCATCCCTAGGCATTGCCAACTCCTTCACCACAGCTCGAAACTCCCAGAGTAACGGCGCGGTTGAAACCAAAAACAAAAGAATTCAAGAAAGATTGCAGACTCTGACCGGTTCGGGACAGATACCCCTCCATTTGACGCTCTCAGACTTGGACACGATTTTTGCGCTGGTGCAATTCAAAATGAATAACACTGTACCAAAAGAGGGCCTAGCAGCTGCAAAAGTAGTCATGGGACACTACCCAAGGACCGGGATTCGACTTCCACCAAAGTTCAACGCGTCGAGCAATAATGATTATTTTAAACTACTCAATATAGTTAGAGTTAGAACGCGTGCGAAGAATTATTTGGGAAAAATTGGACGCGGACGATCCCAAAGAACTGGATTCATACAAAGCGTCCCGCATAAAGAAAGGAGATATTGTTCAAGTTCGAATGGCGGCAAAGCCAGGAGTCCCAAAAAGGGGGCAACAAAAATGGTCGACAGAGACATTTAGGGTTGAAGAAATTCACCCTGAGCACAATCTCGCTACGATTCGCGAGAGAGGAGACAAAAAAGACGGTATGGAAGAATGAAGAGGGCCGTGGATCAGCTCAGATTGTTGCGGACCTGGATGAGCTGGTAGAGAAGTTTGAAGGCAGCGGACAAGCCAATAGGAAGGACACTGTTCACATAAATTGTGCTTCTAACTACCTTTGGGCTGCCGCCCGGGGGGGAGGAATGATGGGGTTATTATTAAGTTTAAAACAGAAATGATACTAGAACTATTCATGCGAAATTGAAAGAATTCGAATTTTCAAAAAGAAGAGACAGTTCTCAGAAGAAAAACAAGCTGTTTGAATCCAGAGGGCAAAAGCAAGACTGTGACCAAGATGACAACAAAACATTAAATAAGGGAAGCAGCTGTGCATTATAAAAATGAAAAGAAGGCTGAAAGGATTAATAATGATTTATCTCGTTTAAATAACACACTGATGAGAAGCCTTTGATACACTGATCATTCGAACATGTGATTTGGAGCAATAAAAGATCGGCAAGGTCACGAGGAGTCAAAAATATTTTTCTCAATTTTAACATCATATGGGTTCTATTGCATGAGTTTTTGTCCCTCATTGTCTCTGATCATGATTCATGAAATCAGTAAAAGAAAATTTATCTAATCATTGATTAGATAATCATTGATTAGTAATCAATCGTAATGCATCAGAGCATAAAAAAATAAAAAATGATCAAAAAAATTGTATTTGACTGTAAAAATTTATGCTTTAGAAAAAAAGGTTTTTTTCAAAAAATAATAATCATAAAATTTTTGTTTTGAATTGCGTTCGAAAAATCTCAAATAAGTTTAGAATTTCGTGCTTTGCCCCTTCACTCGTATAAATGCTAATTTCAGTTTTAACCAGTTACAAATATGGTCTTTCGACCCAAAACGTCGAGACATGATCAGCTGTGTCCCTCTCAGAATTTTTATCAGTTTTCCCTTTTTTTTGTTTTTCAAAAATCAATTAATAACTTCGAGAATAGTAACGCATTGATCGGGTGTTGATATAAGATTTTGGGCTTTTCTATCGATCAGTCCGATAATATTGATTTTTTCATAGAATACGTGACAAGAGCGCGACTCCCTTAGACATGAAATCAACAAACATTGAAGTGAAAAAAGTTTAAAAAAATTTTCAGTGGGTGTCGAACTCAAGGTCCTTATTTGACCAGGGGTCTGGATTCGCTTTGCGAATTCGCTCATGAGCGAAGCGAAGCGAAGCGAAGCGAAGCGAATTCGCTTCGCTTCGCTTTCGCTTTTTGTTATTCCAATTCGCTTCGCTTCGCTTTCGCTTTTTACCAAAAATTTTCGCGAAAATTTCGCTCAAAAGTAATCTTTCCAAGAATTGAAAATTTATCCTTTTTTATTTAGCTTTAGCTTAAACTCGAGTGGAAATTTTGCTGAATGAGCTAAATTGGCACTTTTGAAAGCTGACCTGAGAAAAGTTTTACTGTTTTCAAAGTAGCCAATTTTGTGAGCTGCGCTGAGCTGAGCTGTCCTTCACAAATAATCATTGAGCTGAGCTGACTCTTCAAATTCATTCAGTTAATTTGAGCTAGGCAGTCAATATTATAAAATGATTGACCTGAGCTGAGCCACACAGCCTCCTCAGCTCACAAACCTCGGAAAATTTGCAATTTGAAAAATCGGAGAGGGAGTCCGAATGGAGTGGTCTTCATTTTCTTGAGTCGCTGTTTGCCCAAGATCTCTGTTTGCCCAACATGAGGAATCGGCGAATTGGACAAACGGCGATGTATTATAATTTAAATCGATTGATCTTATGACTACATATATTGGCCTCCCCACAATCAATCCTGACATCACCATTTTCAATCCCGGCTTCAAAAACTTCGATCCTTGCTTCTCAGACATCGATCCAGGTTGTCATATAAATCATCATATCAACCTTGGCATCAACCAGCATCAATCCCGGCTTCTTTAACACCGATCCGGGCGTCACCATTTTCAATCCTAGCCTCTCAGACGTCAATTCCGGCTTCTCACTTGTCGATCATGGCTTTTTCAAGTTTGGATTGACAATGTCAATTTGACATTGGAGAAGCCGGGATCGACATTGGAAAAGCCATGAATGGCCCATGATTGAAGTCGGTAAAAACAGAATTGAAGATGTTGAAACCAGACTTGACGATAAATAAGCCATCATTGATAAAATATGGATGATGTTGAAGAATACATGATTGAAGTATGTGAAGCCAGGATTGGCATTGATGAAGCCAGGATTGACGTTGGAGAAGCCAAACAATGTTTAATTTTCAATCTATATAATTTTTTTCACATCGCCGTTTGCCCAAGATCTCTGTTTTCCAAAGTAAGGTAAACGACGATTTTGGGAAACGGCGACTTGGGTAAACGGCGACGCAGGCAAACTGAGACCATCGTCCGAATGTCCGAAAAACTAATTAAAATGAAATCATACATGAAATGGGCACTTTTTCAAAGGTTATATATTCCTAGAAAATTTTCGCTTTTTTTCGCTTTTTAGGAAAATTTTTCGCTTCGCTTCGCTTCGCTTCGCTTCGCTTTCGCTCACGAAATTTTGATTCGCTTCGCTTCGCTTTCGCTTAAAATTTTTGAAAAATTTTCGCTTTCGCTTCGCTTTCGCTTTTCATTCTTGGCCAAAATCCAGACCCCTGATTTGACGGTATTCTCTGATTGTCAAAATAAATTTCGAGAACCGGCGGTGATTATATGATACAGTTAATTATGGAATTTTCGGACATTTTTTGTCCCAAGATTTTCGCAAAAATGCCCAAAAATTTGATACACGCGGCCAAAAAAAATGTCCCATCCAAATCGCTTAAAAAATATTTTTTGAGGAAAATCTCCATCATTAGGGTCCGTACACAAAAATAAGGTACCCGAAATAATCGCTCAATCTTTTTGATTTTCTAATATGTTATATATACAGCTTATCTAAGTGATTTTGCTCTTTTAACTTTTTCCTAAACTAAAGGGTTGAAAAGATATGATGAGTCAAAAATGGGCATTT